TGTAATCAACTTACAAATAGGTTTGCAATCGTAATAGGAAAGGGCAGAAACAGAAGACGTGCGGCAGCGTGGCAAAACGGTACAAAGTAGCAGGTTTTTAATAAGCAGACTGTAAAAGATGAGATGTTTGACATTGAGGAGTCAAGAATATGCCAATAATGCGAAATGAAACGGTACAGCGTTTCATACTGCAACTGTTAGAAGAAAACATGTACAACTAGCTGTAAGGATATAAGTGAAGGCGAAGATGGAAACGGGTGTATGGGTGGAATGGCGGCAACGACGGGTAGACTGTTGTAATCATGAAGTCCTGTCTCAGGCAGACAGTAGACATCAATTGCAGGAGTCTGCAAATCGCGTGCAGGTCCAGCTTTTTATCGTGCTTCATTAAAGTGCTCACTTTGAACGTAGCTAACATTAACCGAGTTTCAGTCTGCGTAAACAAAAATGGGGAACTTTTTGGATGGTAGTTCACTGTGAAGCGGTGTGGGGTTAAGATGGTGGATGTTAAGGAGTCTAATTCACCGGAAGAATTATGGCTGTTCACCGTTAAAGGAAAAGATAACAAGGGGGTGAATGATACAAGACAAGGGTGCATAAGTGAATGTGCATGCGACTGCAGCGTCGGCGTAGCAGGGTAGCGGTGGAAGAGCGTGAGAGTGAGGTTTCATGGTTACTTCTTAGGGGAGATGCTACTAAGTTACCAAGGTCGAAATACGTTGGTTGTCTTAGAGGATCACTGCCCCGAAGTCCTGGACAACTGATCTTACGCACGCGACGACGGGGTTAGATACGGACTTCCCACCTGTTGGTATTCGGTGACCGATCATTCAGTTCATCCATCTTTCGCGTACGATATTCCATACCAGAGGCCTAGGATTGCCGACATCAGAGGCACAATATCCGCAAGGTAGGTAAGGGGCGGTGATTTTATTTAGTTGCGAGTCACATCCGCCAAGTTACGGTGTTGCTAAGCAGAGTTCTTCGGGTTCTAATAGGGAACGCGCCTGCCAAACGTAAACCCATAACATTCTGGAACACTGCATCCGAACCGTTTGCTGGAACAGGGAATTTCCGATCCACCAAACTGACACTACTATGAGGTTTTCGGTGATACTGTTGTCATAAAGTTTTTAATACTGCTTTTAATTATTCCATCTGAATTTTTCACGTTGTTATTCTACTCCATTTGTTTTAGATACGTTTCTACTCTTCTCTCTAAATCTTCCACACTTCGATTAAAGTATCGCGTCTTGAAAGTGCAGTTGAAGAGAAATAACCCTATGCTAGCTTTCACGACGACAACCTTGTGCGATGAATTGCGTACTTTCGTGATCCACTGAGCAATGCTGAATGACGCTTTTCAAATGCTGTCAGATCCACTGCTTACCTGAACAATACTTGAGCTAATCAAAAAATCGTAAGGTTTACTCTAATGTATTGTACTATCATTCATAGCAAATTAAGAATGAAACATAAAATAGCTTTGAAAATGTCCTACGGCCAGTTGCCAAGTTAATCAGAGGGGTTACTCAACCCTGAGTTATCGTAATCGCTGCCGCCACCTTCGAATGGATTACCTTTGACTGCGACGATTAAATAAGAATATTCTTCTCTGTAATATTATACCAAAGGGAATTTTTATGGAGATTGCCTCCCTTGAGCCGGGGAAACCTGCCATCTATCCCACTCGTAATGGTGGTGGCTATTTGTTAACCTCACAGCTTGTGGAACCGACTACCACTACAGTAATGCACCTGTGCTAATATTGTAACATACCGAAATTCTCTAGAGACTTTCCTCAATGTGCCGATGCGTTATAGAGACGTGGTTCGTAACAAACTGCAGGAACATTGACGGAAACTGGTCTAAACAACATGAGCTACCAGTAGCCTACAGACAGCTTACACTCTCTTTATCATTACCCAAGAAACTAAACTTGTGTGTGTTAGCCTACTCTCCCCCACTCAACTTTGGCTGCTCCCGAGCTTCGCTACGTAAAAAAACGAAAACAGTTGTACGAAGATTCGTACAATTAATTTTTTCCACAATAGGCTCAATAAACCGAGGAAAGTTTCATTATACGACATCCTATTTTTTATTTTTATCTTTATGTTTTATGTAGCCCTAACCATGACGATATTTCTGTGTACAAATGAGCGCTCCCACTTAGCTGCCGTATACTGCTTGTCGGTAAAATTACGAAATCATTTATAAGCGGATAATTGTTGAGGGTACAGACCAACTCAATCTCAGTATCCTCTTCTGAGATTAGAAAGAGATCGATGGCCCTCTTGCTTTAAAACTTAGTCATTGAAAATAACAAATGAAGACCTCTAATCGCACTGCGCGGTTGAACTGGAGCTCGAGTGTGACGCATTACCTCCAAAAGCAGGAAAGCACCGCTTATTGCTCAGTGGTTCGTTGCCACCCGCTCCAAACCAGGCAGCTGCAGGTTATATCGATGCAAGTCCGCCAACTTCAACCTGCGGTTGGTCGTGGTCGCAAATGCGTAACATGCAAAGGAGAAAATACACATGTGAATTGTTCTAACTCTTCAAAGGGCATGTGTGACAAGCTCAAGCAGATCTCAGTGCGTTTCTGCAACCACCATACCTCCTAGCTGAACTTGCTCCCAACTGCACTATTGGCCAGGGTATTGAGCCAAATGGCCCTCTGTGGAGTCCCTCAACAGAACCTCCATGCACCCCACTGCCTTGTGGGTTCGACTGGTGTATCAGATGCTAGGAATCGGGTATCTCGAACAAAAAACTCATCTCGGAAGGTGCAACCGGAGAGAATCATCGATTCTCTCTTCTCCGTCTCCAAATCCTGTTCATCTTTTTATCTCCCAATATTTTGAGCGATCGACTACCACTCGCAGCTGCTGCCATCGTTGCATGTGGTTCGTCTATCAAACCAAGTGTCTCATTTCACGTTAGTTCTTTCAATGTAGCAATCTGAGTCAAATCGGTCAACAGGCAGTACATAATCTCGCTTTTCACTCTCTTGGTGTTAGTGGGTACTGTGTCTCCGCAACACATATACAATAACAACGGCGTTGAGACGCAAAACTGACTTCCTATCGATAGTGATTACACTCTTCACGTCTCTGATGACAATGTCAACGCATCAAAGTATTTACGACGTCAATATCGTCCACACCAAAGATGCTGAAGGCCATCTGCTAGACTAAATACCAGCGGACAGTCTCATGGGAGCTGTTTGACATGGAAACTATTGGTTAAAGCACTGTCTGAAAACAAAGTGCGTTTTCATCGCTTCCGTTTACGCACTTACTGACTGCAGGTCGTATGGTATGACGGCGAATACTACTGTGAACTCTCATCAGTTATCTGTATCTCGGATAAATTTTGACAACGCGATTGATTCTGGTGACGCGAATGCCCGACTGAGTCGTCTTTCAAATACTGAACCACATCTGGGCGACATTTTCGGGGTGAATATAAGTCGAACAGACAGTGACGATGGATTCTTGTAACTGTGTGCTGAGCAGCACTGTTTTTCAGCACAGACGCTCACATCGCGTCACATGACGCCCATCGAATTCCTCGATGAGCTGGACCCAAACTGACCATATTGCCACTAGCTACGAATGACACTCATCATTCCTTGACCGAATTCTGACCACTTTCTAGTGTGCGCACGCCTAGTGCTCATCCTTCCTGCTCCAAAGTGATGCCTAATTTCTAAGATTTTCACTAGTAACGAATTCGCAGACCACAGTTCAACAAACTTATGACGAACTGGCCCAGCATTGTAATGTAGGGTTCTGGAGCACCCGCCTTGTCTTGAATTGCGACGCACAATCCCTACTTCTAACCACCGTGTCAAGTGTTTCTCGCGGAGCTCAATTGTCTAGTGATCGCAACGATAGCCGTCAACTACTATGTGTCGAGGTCCACTCCCATATCAGGCTATCTATATCTGACAAGGTGCCCCATGCTGAGGCTGATGTTGCATTCTTGATGCTTCTTCACCGCAGTTGGGCTAAACCAACTTACACTTTCACTTAAACTAGGTCTTTTTAAGCTGGATAAATTTCATTCCGCTTTATTTGGTTTGTTCTGCCTCCCTGAATAATGTTCTATTAACTGGCCACGTTGCTTACACTAATTGCGCTTATCTTGTTGTTTGCGTTGCGTTTGTGGCATTTTAAGTAACTTGTGAACATGTCTTACTTATCACGGATTTGTTGCTAACCAAATTACTTCATATGGTAATTTAGCGAAGAGTTATGCCACCGTATCTGTATGCATTATTGGATTTATTTTATTTCAGCTTGTCGTTTAAAGTGAATGGCTGTTGTTTGCTATCCCTGGTATGGTTGCGCTTGATGTGTATGTTGACAAGGTGCCTACCTGTCTATTACCCACTACATCGTTCATACTGGCTCCAGGAGACAGTTGGTCGTTGCTTGAGGGGACGGGGTGCACGGTTCTTGTGGCCGTGCTAGGCTCAAAGAGCGGTTCCATGCACTCAGTGTGGAGCGGACTACGGTCCAGCCACCGCCTTGTGTGCGCTTGATTCCCCAACTACAGCGTGCTTGTGTTTGCCTGTGAAGGAGTGTGGGCCGGCTCCGTTGATGAAACTTGGTTCCCATCCGCATGCCTCCCGGTCTTATTCCTTCGGGTTTACACTGGATATGGGGTATGTGGTTGGAGCTGTGGGTGGTGCAGCGCAAGCCATCCATGGTCCCTCTGTAGGCACAGGCGTCCTGTGGCTTGCCACAGTGACAGGCAAATCCGAAACCGGATGCCGCCAACCATATCTGACAAGCCCAAATCAGAGCAAAATTTGACGAGCATTGACAATGTATATCACGACACCGACGGCAAAACAGACGAAGAGACGGGTAAGCCTCTCAGTGGCTACCAATGATGTTGTATCTTAACGTCGTTAAGGAGTTTGATAATGGTCATTCATGCGTATGTGTATCAATCTCTAACCTTTCGCTGCGTTCATTCCATTTCTTGCAGGCACGTGCAAATGTAACCCTACGACTGGCTCTGAATTACGACATCAACCCAGAATGTGATGAGACAGTGTACAAGGCAATGATATGTGCCGGAGAGTTCACCAACGAGTGAGTGTGCGGGTTTTCTCTTTGTTCATTGGTGTTTAGTTGTTGAATGATTCGATGAGATTAGTTGCATTTGATCTACCAAGCTCGGCTAGCGACCCAGCAACTGAGCAACCAGTTTGGGTTACCAGTGTTCCAGATTACTTCGATCTGTTTGTTTGTTTGAATTTGTGGGCTTGTCCATCCGCGTTGAGCCCAAAACTTAGTGATCGTTCGCAAGATACACACAGACTGCCACTCCTTAGTTTAGCAAGTAGCTTCAAACCGAACTGTACCATGCACGCACTCATGAATAGCCAAGTTTAGTTTCATTCTCATGTAATTCGAAAATGTTACGTGTTCCATGCTGAAATGACCTTGACTGTGAACCGGGATATCACTCTGAAGCAAACAAAGTTCGCATTGGTACTTGTGTACTCATGGCATGGTTGGTGGATTGGCCGGTTGCACTACCGATCGGTAGTGGTAAACAGTTACCTAGCTAATTGCTCGGATTGAATAGAGCAACACATGGCTAAAAGAGGAAAGAACACTACAGGGTTCTCGAACCAATTGGTTATGCAAACGCGGTACTTTTTAGCTACCCGGTTAGAGGAACAGGATTAGCTTCACTACCCACGTGAGGTCCGTCGTAGCAGAACACGGGACGGTCAAGTGCCCAACTGGTCCGACGAATCAATGGAAGATAATATCCATGGGAGTACTTTCAAATTTCGCAATGAAGTTTCAACCAACAAACACGGCTCTATGTCAAATCTGGTGTGATCGAGGGATATTAAGGTACTGGACTCCGTCAAGGTGGAGAACTCGAATCTGTAAAAATCTAAAATCTCTTCTTTACTCCAGCGTTAATACACTTGCAGGCGATTTATGTCTTGGTCAGCAAAACTGAGCACTTGTTTACTCTGATTACACTATTCAGGTCGGTAGTTAACTTCTGTTAAAAGTTGATTATCCCTTGAGAACTGGAATACCTTGGCGGAAGGAATAAGTTGGGGCATGAACCATCCTTGTCATCTGGACAGATTGTAGGAAGAATGCAACCACATATTTGGCTTCGGAACCAACTACGTTTCTCTACCTAAATTGCTCGTCTGAAACTGTTGGTTTATGAGTATCTGAATAGTATGGGATAGAGTTCGGGTAACGTTGTCCAGTTCCTACTGCTACTATCATTTCTTCGACTAATTCTGACATAGACTGAAAGACAAAACTCAGGATTATCCAGATAGTTTTCCTACCTTCAACTGGCTTTGGGACCCAGTAACGAGTAGGCCGGTGGCCGAGTGATCTGCGCTCTTGCTTAGGCTTTACACCATTACAGATCGAAATCAGAATAACAGGATAATTTATCAGAATTAATCAAGGGAGGCAGAATCTGAGTAAAGAATTCTTTTCGGTAATTCTCATCGGACTCAAACATTACATGATGAGGATTTTTAAATGTTGTAAATCGACAAAACCAGTCGCCTACTCAATCTGATCATGTGATCGCGCCACTCGGAACAAGATTGTGGAAGATGTTTCTAACACAGTTTAAGTACAAATAATGTGTCATCAGAACCATGGCGAAATAAAAGGGGAACACGAAATAAAACAAGAAAACGACTTTATCGGTTTTACACACTCTTATTTTGGATTTTGTTTTTGGAGTTTTATGTTCCATGAGTCGTTAACTAATAGGTAACACGGTTGAACAACGCTGTCGCCACTGATGCCGGTTGCACGCCTCAACCTCCAACATTTCTAACCACTTGCAATCCGAATCGCGTCGTCCGCATCCTAGAAGGCGGACTCGTCTGACGGATACTATGCTTGAAGTTACATTCCTCAGGGCTTCTTCTCCAAGTCATTGGTTGTCCACCGCGGCACTTTTTCCAATCACTTCCGGAGAGCGCATATAACGCTCTATGGGGAAGGCGATAGGCTGGCATGCACGGTACGTTCCCGAGCCAACGCATGTGATGTCAGAGATAACGCTCCAAGCACTCGGTCTCGGATCACTACGTTGCTTACGTGATGTTGCCACCACACCCTATTAATTTTTCGTAGACAGCGAATGTCAAAGCCTGACAACCGCTTCATGTCTTCCGAGAAAATAGGCCAAGTCTCACAGCCGTACAAGAGTACTGCAAGGACGGAAGCATTGTACACCCTAACATTGATCATGAGACTGCTATCATGACAACACCATAGGTGTCTCAGTTTGATGAATTCAAGGCGAGCCATTGCAATCCGCTGTGAGACTTCATCTCCAACACACCAATTAGTCGTGATGAAACTCCCTAGATAAGTAAAGCAAGGGACTTGCTCCAGAACATGTCCAGCAATGGTGAGCGCGGGTTCAGGCACCTGCCAATCCTAGAGAAGAGTTTTACATTTTCCCGGAGTGAAGTATAAGCCGTACTTAGATGCCTCCATCGCTAAGCCGTCCAAAGCGCTCTGGACGAATTGTAGGTCGTTCCCCAACAAGGTGATGTCATCGGCGTAGTCCAAGTCCGTGACTCTGGCTCCAGGGAGGAGCTCAACACCGCAGTCCTGGACACCTTCCAGTGCACCTTGGACGACATTTTCGAGAACAAAATTGAAGAGGAAAGGGGAAATAGGGCAAACTTGGCGAACACCGCTGGTCACAGCGAAAGAAGTGTGTGTGTGCCGTAAACCCTAACTTTACCCGACATGTGGTTGTAAAGTTCTTTCAGGATGGTTACAAACTTGTCGGGCACACCTTTCTTCAGTAAACAGTTCCACAACGCAGACCTATCCACTGAATCAAATGCTGCTCGGATGTCCAAGAACACTACCATTATTGGCCACCGATTGATGTGACGGAGTTTGAGAAGTTAGCGGAGCGTACAGATTTGGTCGATGTAGAAGTGACCTGGACAAAACCCGGTTTGTTCTTTTCGGGAAAAGTTCTCTCTAGTCGTTGAAATCCTGCGAAGTAGGACCGATACGAAGATGTTGGATGTGACAGAGATCAACGAGGTTCCGCAACAGGTTATATCTTAATCTTCGCAGCCAAAGCGGATGGAACACTGGTGTATTACGGGTAAAAGGCATTGCTTAACCAGTCCCGTGGGATGGAAACATGGCAAAAATAAAATTGCATGATAAAGTGAAAAGCGTTTTGGTGGACTCACCATAGACTTATGTGGAATAGCGGAGATGTTCGCGTATTAAAGGTATAAATCCGTCAATCCATTGGTTAGGCGTTTGGCAAGACACCGTTTGATTGCGTTTGGTAGCCCCTGGCTAACAAGTCATAAAATGAAATGCAAATGAGACAACGCATCAACAACTCATTTTATAAATATCGCCAGACTGGCAGCAGAGACGACATAAATAGGGAGGACGTTCCAAGGCTGTCACACGCGGCGAGAAAAGAAATTTCTACTGCATTCAAGCCGGCTTTATTGTACTGTCAGTTTCAGTGGATGACCTCTTAGGTTATTGTTGTGGTTCAATTCCAGCAGCGGACGACAAATGTGGTTTGGGTTTTTCAGAAACTGATAAACCATCATGAGATCCCCCTGCAAAAGCCGATATCGACTGCTGTACATTCTTAGAGATTTCAGTCTAAGCTGATAGGGCGGATGAAAGAAGCCTCGGTCTCCTTAGATGCCCTTCGCTGCGAAGTCTCGAGAGCAACGAGATCCTGTTTCTGCCACAGCTGCCACGCCTGGATATCATATTCCACGTGCGGTCACACGTAGGCGTTAAGCATTTTGGGAAAGATTGAGGGCTCAACCCGACCGAAGCCTCTGCGAAGCAAGCCGAAGTCTTGGTTACAGGTTATTCTTGCCTTCTCTGCTTGTTTAGAACACCTGAGATTTTCCTGTACCACTACACCCAGGTCAAGCTCTTTAGAGGCCTTCTCCAAGGTGTGGTCTCCAAGCTAATAAACACTCACCGATTAGTGACGCAGGTGGATCACCTTGCACTTATTCATATTCAACTGAAGCAGTTTCCTCTTTGACCAATCATAAATGTAATTTAGCTCATGTTAAAGTATATCGTGATCTTCATTATTACTAATCGTCCGCCATATCTTGACGTCATCAGCGAAATGCAGGAAATTTAAGGAGATAACACTTGTCTGGTTGTTGATAAACACCAGGAATAAGCGCGGTCCCAGCACTGTGTCCTGTGGCACAGCACATACTACCTCAATCGGGTTAGATAGTGATCACATAACACGCACTTGAAGCATTCGTTGGTGAAGAAAGTTGCCAATCCAACCAACAAAAGGACCTCCGATTGCGTAGCTCTGTAGCCGTTGAAATAGGATGCGACGGTCGGAAACTTTGGAGAAGTCTAGATAGATGACCTCAGTTCTGACCTCCTCATCATCCACTTCCGTCCAACTATCTCGTGTAATCAGTAGGTTGGTGGTGCATGACCGGTGTTGACGGAAGCCATGCTGTTACGGTACCAAGATGTTGCATTTTTCCAGATAGTCCATTAACGTCTCAGCGACGACTGCTTCCATCACCTTCGCGAGCACAGGGAGGAGAGTCACTGGGCTATAGTTTGCAGGATCTGAACGGCTACCGCCTATAAAAATAGGGTGATAATGCCACACTTTCACATAGTGGAGACTTGTTGTTCATTAAAGCACCTTTGGAAGAACTGTGACAGTGGTTCAGTTAGCTTGTTGGCCACGGCCTTCAGTGCCTTCGAGCGGATGTTTTCTGCTCCCGGAGAACTATGCTCACGTAGTGAGAGTAACTTCTATAGCACAATTGATGGGTTGAAAATTACGGGTGTAAAAAGTGGAGTCGGTAATGTGCATGACATTATGCGCCAGGTAGAGGTTGCGAGTTCGAAAATTGGGGTGTATTGTAGCCGCAGGGCATTAGCTGCTTCTTCGGCGCTTTGTACTCAACCGCCTGATGTGAAAAGTAGATGGATTCCGTGCTTCACTTTACGAAGCTTATTGACATGCTTATATAGCAGTTTGTTATTTGCCATGAACTTTTTGGCTAGGCACTGTTGACAAG